AGCAACACACCCGCCACGCGTGAAGTCGATTGGATGAACGGTTCTCGACATAATAAAAATGTAAACAGACAGACAGACACATAGAGATTCCTGCCTTTATTACACCGTGTCTACACTGGATGCGAAAAAGCGACCGTTGAAAATCATTTGAAATTTGTGTCAATACGTCATAAATAGAATGCAGCAGCAGTTTTCTGTTGGGAATTTGTCGTGTTGCGACGCGCCACATCCAGTGTAGACAGCATCACTGATTATAATGAGTTCTATATAGTGGTTAAACGGATCGTAGTTGATCCGTGATCCGTATGGACCAAGCCCCACGGTTCGGCACACATGTGATCCGCGGTTTAATTGCAAAATTTTACCATAATAGAGTATAAGTTTATCATTTGTCCGTATTTACACAAGCAAGCAAATTTTAAACAATTCCAGAGAGAAAAGGCGAAAGGGAGAAACCGTAATGTGATCTGAACCATGAGATTTGTGATCTGTTGAACCACTAGTTCTATAGTATTTTGTCGAGCCGCGACGTTCGCGTCCATTGTAGACACGGTGTTAGAGAGAAGAATATGTTCAGCCCCCTCCCTCCAAAGCTTTGAATATTCGGTGTTGATTACAACCGATGCTTCAAAGCTCAAAAAATGGTATTTGGACCAGTCCTACTTATTTACATTTCAAATTTGCACATAACATACCTGTACATACAAAATTGTCTATTTTGTATATTGTGTTTTTGCTATTTTGTACATTGTCTATTTTGTATATTTGTGTATTATTCTTTTTATTATCTGTGTCTTGTCTTGTCACTGTCATTCTGTTGCACTGTGGAGCTTCTGTCACTAAAACAAGTTCCTCGTATGTGTAAACATACCTGGCAATAAAGCTCATTCTGATTCGGATTTTATTTTTTCGGCCGTAAATGTGTTTAATATTTTTGTGTATTTTTCAGTAAATCATTTTGGTTATTCAACCACTATTAGCAGGGTTTATTTAGAAAGGAAAATGAAATAAAACATTTTTGTAAAAAAAGAAAGCATATCAAGGTAGTATACTGAAATCTCAGTACCTTGGAAGTTTGGTCGTATTCGTGAATCATAGGTCATCAACAAGCGGTTCAGTATGTTGCTGGTTGAGTTGGCTGGGACTCTGTCCAAGTCCTCTGCTGATAACTGACTGGCAATGTCAAAACAGACACATACACACTATACTGGCAGTACATCTCTTATCAAAGTCATACTAGGACATAACTTGCCCTGGCAAACAGTCAAAGCCTTCTCAGATTCAAGAACTATTCAACACATCATTCTTTGGAATTAGGGCTGGGCGATATGAGCAAAAATTCATATCTCGGTAGTTTTTGGCTGATTTGCGGTATACGGTATATACCTCGGTATTTTCTACGCTTTTGTATTTGGATTTAAAAAATCTGTATTTTACATATATATAAATATATATTTCACATCCTGCCTAATGCTGTCCAAAGAAACAATGCATATTAAAGGCTATGAAAAAACAAATAAAGTGAATGTAACCATATAGGCATATGTTATGTGCAAAAAAAAAAAAAGTATTAAAATCACATTACTTTCTAACATTGTAACATTACAATCTAAAAACAAAAATAATGCTTTTAAAGCAGAAGTTAAATTCACTAAACTAAAAATAAAAATAATAAAAAAGCACAGACTAATTAAGTAAAAATGCTATTTTGATTACCCCATTAGTCACTTTACAGTTAGTGCTATAATACAAATACACTTACTTGTAGGTTTAAAATTCTACATATGTCACATTTATTGTCCAATTACAAATATTTCAGCAAAATTTATGTTTTAGTGAAAACTATTGCGCTCCTATTTCATCGCTCGTTCAATGGAATCTGTGAAGTTTAGCGGAGAATCGCAAAGCAGAAGGCTTGTGAGTAGTGCATGCACTTCTGACAGCAAAATGGAAATATTTCCATGGCTTTCTAACATTTACAGATGGAGAATATACCTGTGAAATGTAAGTTATGCATTTTAGGAAAACAGCACATCTCAGACACGTTAAACAGCGCGAGTAGCGTCTGTGGCGCGAGAGCCGCTTTAAACTATACGAAACTATAAACTATACTACTTACGAGGTTTTTTTTACAGCCCTTCATATAAAACTTGTCACATGTTTAGAACAAATTGGATTATGCACTTTCTCCACTAGATATTTTTCAGATGCGCTCATATCAAACTACTGTAGGCCTATATCGATATAAACGGTATTGCCTCATACTGTATCATTTATAAAAATATATTGATATATCGTACAAACTCGATATACCACCCAGCCCTATCTGGAATAATGTCTGCTATCAGAAAACACAGTAAAAAGCACAGACACTTACTGATGCTTAGTCATATAGATTTGAACCACTGGCCCTATCTATGGCCTAAGGCCAGTTTAACTGGATCTGTTAGTATGCAACAGAGAGTATTGACAAGGGCACAGCTGGTCCTGGACCAGTGTTAACAGAACCATTGAGTCTGGCAGGCTCCAAAATTTATCGCCAGACTTTCACTCTGCTTAACAGCACTGTAATTCTTCATGACTGACATCCATGCATCCTTGGCAACCTTAAATGATAATGGAATCAGCACACATATGTGTGTAACTGCCTGGGAGACTTACGAGGGACAGATGACTTGCTTGCCCTTTTTCCCCTTCTTGGGTTTGCCTCCTTCTTTGGCAGTGCTCTCTGCAGAGAACTGTACCAACAGCAACAACAAGATCAGCCCTTTGAGAACCATGACTGCACTCCTGCAACGTGACACACAGACACATTAGTCAGCAAAAACACTTTACATCAAGAAACAAAATAAGAATTTGTTTCTACAAACTGTTTGGACTCTCATTCTCATGGCACCCATTCACTGCAGATGATCCAATTGTGAGCAAGTGATGTAATCATCAAACTCACCTACATCTTGGATGGCCTGAGGGTAAGTACATTTTCAGCAAATTTTCATTTTAAGTGAACTCTTCCTTAATTCATTTCATTTGAACAAGTTAATGCTTAACAGACATATAATGATATCACCCGTTATGTGTGATGTACAAAAGATCAATGCATGTTTTTAAAGATGGAAATGTAACAGCATAGCAGGGTTTAAGAGAAAGTGGGGGACAAGACAAATTCAGAAATTTCTCAGAAAGCTAAAAAAAAAAAAAAAACTACTAGGGAAACGTATGGCTTGCATTGCATTATATTTTTCCCACAAATATAGTCACTTATTTTCATATAGGAGACCAAGGCTAGTTGTTGAGCTATTGAACATTTCGACTGTGATTTCCCAGGAAAATAGAAACAGTTCACTGAACACACGTTCACCTGGGGGCAGGCTGTCATAGTTTTTATGGCATTGCTTGTCACAATGAAACATTCAATTGCCCATTATATGCTTTTCAGATAGATAGATAGATAGATAGATTATCCCAATGTATGAATTAGTTTTGAACTACATGCTTGTTGTAATATACATACAGGCAGTGTTGGGCAGTAACAAGTTAGTACTTTTTGCAGTAACTACTTTTGAAGTAACTAGTAGTGTAACTAATTACTAATAAGATTTCAGTAATAATATTAGTTACTTTCCATAAAACAGCTAGTTACTTTGATGCCTCAACCCCTACTGATTTGAAGTCCAACAATCCAATAATTCCTAGATTTATTTTCATAATTTTCACAACTTGCACAGGCACATGAAGTCACCAGTGCAGCAGGCATATGGAATATGAAAAAGCTTACATTCAGCAGATGGAAATATTGCCATTTCATTGATTTTGTCAGGAGAAAAGATGTTCTGAACACTGATGCAAGTTGTGGCATTATGGTAGTTGTGGCATTACTTTACTCTGGCATTACATGGCTTGCCCACCCACAGTGTTGGGCAGTAACAAGTTAGTACTTTTTGCAGTAACTACTTTTTGAAGTAACTAGTAGTGTAACTAATTACTAATAAGATTTCAGTAATATTACAGTTACCATCCATAAAACAGCTTAGTTACTTTTGATGTAGCTACAATTAGCTCAAGCTACACATGACAATTAATGGGTTTAATACAACACTTTTACTTAAACGTTACTATTAATAACTATTGACTGTGATCCAATGTGGATTTTGGTCAAAAGATGAGGCAGACAAATATTGTTAGTAACATTTTAGAAGAATTTTATGGGGAAGATATGCAACTTATGTGGGGCGTGAAAGAAAAGTACTGTAACTAGAAGTAGTGTAACTAATTACTGTTGCCAGAAAGTAATAGTAAATTAATAAAATTACTTTTGAAAGGAGTAACTAGTAATGAGTAATATAGCCCAGTGGTTCTCAAACTTTTTCAGCAGAAGGCCCCCTTGTGTAGGGTGAATCCTTTTGTGCCCCCCCAAAAGAAAACTCATGACGCAGAACATCCCCAAACTTACAATTTACTTAACAATTTTAGATTGTACCAAAAACAAATGAATTTGTACAATGCCAGAACATAAATTATGTTTGTAGCCTTATTTCTCTGATGTTGAATATACAAAATTTGTTAAATTCTTACATTTCATAAAATATAACAGATTGTTATAAAAATTGTCTGAAAAGTGCAACAAAAGTATTGAATACGTGTCCAACATTTTGAAAATGTCCTCACCTGTAGCTCTCCCCTCGAGGTCTTTTGAAAATAAAAATCTTCCATAATTTTACTGTCCCATAAATATCGAACGTACACTAACAACTGTGCAGCGCTGCTAACGTCAGTGCATTCATCAAGCTGAAGCGCAAACTGCTCACACAATCGTAATCTTTCGGTCAGTTGAGATTTCACATCAAAAGAGATGTCTTTGATCCGTCTGCTTACTGTATCGTTGGACAGCGGTATGGATTTAATCTTGTTCGCGGCCTCCTCCCCGACCATCACTCTGCACATATCCACTGCTGCTGGAAATATTAATTCCTCCATGATCGTGTGAGGCTTTTTACATTTGGCTATTCGCAGGGCTGCAAGATACGATGCTTGCTGTGCTTTCTCAGGTATTGTCGTGACGTTAGTCAGTCGTACCTTTTGCTTGATGTATTCTTCTTTCGCATGCTCCGGATGAATTGTTGTGAGATGTCTGTTGAGTTTATATGGTTTCAGCGCTTCAACGGATAAAATCTTCAAGCACAGCGTGCACTGTGGTCTGCCGTCACTATATTCCATAAAGCCATATTTTATGTACGAGTCGTCAAATTTACGCAGTTTCGTTTTTTTCACGCTAGGCTCTTCTGTATTAACCTTCTCAGCTGAGACACTGCATCCTCTATCTAAAAACTTATCCATTTTAAAGAGTCTTAGCATTTATCAGCGTGTTCATGGCTAACCGTTCTGTGCACTAGTAACGTTACATCAACGGAGCGTTTCCGTAGTGTGCTGCGTATAATTGATATTATTTTATTATTTTTTAAATATTTCTATTTTTTTAAATACATCATAGTTTACATAGATTGACAATACTGATTTACAGGTAAAATATTTTTTTAATAATAATTTCCTAATCTAGATTCTAGAATTTCTATGCGGCCCCCCTAGCGCCATCTGGTGGCCCCCAGTTTGAGAACCACTGAATAGCCTATTACATTTTTTGAGTAACTAGCCCAACACTGCATACAGGCCTATATTAAAGTGTTTGGTTTAGATGAGTAATCAGAGAAATGTGATTTTTTTTTTTTTCAGCGGATTAACTTGCACGGATTAATTGTTCACATCAAGACTAGCAATGTGCGCTAGTAAAGTAAATAAACAGTTACACAATTTCATGCCGACTTTAAACTCATTAACACATTCTCTTAGAAAACCCCTGGAACAGCTTGATACTCGCTTGATCAGACCTTATAATGTGCAGATTAATTAGCCTAACGCTAATAAGAGCTCTCGCTCCAGGGGCGGACTGAAAAACACCCGGCACCGAATCCAGCACTAGAGATCCGCAGTGGAAACACGAGACTCACCGCAAAACACTCCCAGACCTCCCGGCGCAGACGTATACAACAAGAAAAATAAAGAGAACACTCGTAATAACTCACTCTGAGAACTTGTGAGATCATGTGGAACCGAAAAACCCGCGTGTCAGTGAGATCATCTCATCTGTACATATTACAGTACAAAGACACGTAGCCTTACCTCATGAAGAAAACACAGCTGATATTAGTGTTCCCCGCTCAAACACGCTTCCAGCAAACACACATGTCTGTCACTGTATGAACATCCACACTCGGGCTCAGTTTCGGTGTGTGTTGGATTGCGCGTGGATGCACCTGTCCCGCTGCAGTGAGGCTGCTGCTGTGCTCTCACGTGATGAAGCACGCGCTGTCCCGCACCGGCGTCACTTTCTCCGCCTGGATCTAACTTACGAAACCTACTGTGCTACTATAGCTTGCCATTAAGTGATTCTGAAGATATAAAGGACCTGTATTATGCAAAATCAAGAGTTGAACAAATTAACTGTTAGCAGCACATAAAAAGCACAAGAGTGAAAGCAGCCCTCTCTGATTATATTAAGCGAGAGATGCTCAAGAAATTCACGAGATGTTAGTGGTTTTGTGAACAGCTCCTCCTCACCTCGATTTGTCCTTTGTGTCACATTAAATCACAGCCCTCTCTCTTAACAGATTTACACTGCGCCCACAGAACTAAATGAGGGCATGGGATGGGCTCGTGTGTGTGTGTGTGTGTGTGTGTGAGAGAGAGAGAAAAAGTGGCAGGAAAGATAAATGATCCCATGTGAGAATGGGAATAAGAAAGAATAAGATTCACACAAACAATATGAAGGTACACTGAGAATAAGATTAATTATATTTAAATATATCATTAATTTATTTAAGATGTATGATACATTTATGTAAAAATGTATATGATATACTGGTAAAACATAAATCATCTTATTCCCTCTCTTTATATAGAAAAATATAAATCTTATTTAAATGTTAAAATATATAATTGATATAGAATAGACTGATTAAATATAATTCAATGTTTTTCATGTATATATCATGTTTCATGTATGTGTGTGTGTGTAAATATGTAATAGATATATGTATTATTGATATATTTATGTATAAACAGGATATACTTATCAAATAATATGAAATCTTATTCTCTCTCATATATATATATATATATATATATATATACACACATATACACACACACGAAGTAATAGCATATCAATTATATATTTATGTATAAACATATGAGGTATAATGACTCTGTGTGTGTGTGTGTATACCAGTCATACATAATTCACCTCTGTCTCTCTCTATATACAGAAAAGAATATTTAAATAACATTTTTTAAATATATATTTAAATATATTATTGATAGATTTATGTATAATAATATAAGATACACTGATCAAATAAAACTAATCTTATTCTCTCTCTCTATACATACATAAAGTAATGACATATAAAACTTTGGGGCATAGGTGTGTGAGAGAACCCAGTACAAATACAGCACAACTGGTAAAAAAAAACAATACAATTGTGTTTCAGAATTTGTGAAGCCATTCTGCTCACAGCGTGGCACAACGCCAGCACACTGCAGAGGAGACACACACAAACTCTCACTCACTCTCGCACACACTAACACGCACACACGCTTCATGATGGTCTTTACGAATTACAAACTTACCTCAGCATTTCAGATGCTGTAAAACACCAGCTTTCACTCCTCTATCACACACACACACAATCTTGTGTCAGATGTGGTAGTTTCACAGGTGAATTATGCTTTGAAGAATACAATTACAGTGAGTGACTATTAGGGCTGTGCAATATATCGAAATATCGCAATATGCTTATCGCTACAGCTTGCAATATTTGGGGCCATGAACAAAAGACAAAGAGAAAATCATTCATTGCTCTTACCTAAATAACTTTTGTAGCTTAAATAAGAATCAGTGCATATTGAATTCAAAGAGGAAATACTAAGCAGTGTTTTATTTTTCCTTTTTATTATTCAGTTCCTAAACTCATGTTAAAATGATTACACTAATGTTAAAATTAAATTTTTATGTAATGCTCAAGTAAAACACTACCGTTCACTTTCAGAAGTTGTTGTAGGGGTGCTTTCTTATCAGAATCAGAATCAGAATGAGATTTATTCACCAGTTTCATTTGAGCATGTGGCACTTTAAGCATTATCGTTTCGCATATTGAATATCGCATTGTTTAATGAGTTATCGCATATCGCATTTTTCTTCAATATCGCACAGCCCTAGTGACTATCATTCTTATAAAAGTGATCATTACACAACATCATCTGCTCAGATAATACAAAACAAGACAGATGCTATGCCAAATATGGGACATGCTTTCATGCCTTCTACACATATACAACACACACACACACACACACACACCATCTGTCCAGGGCTGACAGGAACACAATTCATCTTCTGCTCTGGCAAATTTGACCACTACAAATGAAGAACGGAGCTCACTGTTTGGATGCCATGTCCAAAGACAGAGCAAGGATGTGTATTTTTAATCCACATTATAATATGTATTAAATATGACAACATTTGTGCCCTAAGAGTGTTGACTTGATTTATTGCTTTCACTTGCCATACTCAAAAATACGTCCATAGACCAATCTGTCACACTAACAACACAGAGACAACTAAGCTAATATGTAAGGGCCAATAATACATGTTAAAGGAATAGACTCACCCTCATGTCATTGCAAACCTGTATGGATATCCTTTCTTCTGCAGAACATTAAAAAAGAAATGTTGAGAAATGTCTCAGTATGTTATTTAGTCTATTAATTGGAAGTCAATGGTCACCAAAACTGTTTGGTTACCAACATTCTACAAAATATCTTTATTTGTGTTACACAGGAGAAGGGAAGTCATACTAGATTTGAAATGACATGAGGGTGAGTAAATGATGAACTATCCCTTCAAAGCACAAACTTGAATCTCAAAGCAAATACACCAGCAAATAAATCAGGTTTCACAAACTCCACTAATTACAATGACACTATTTTAGTCCATTAAAGCTTATTCAAAATGCAGAACATTTGGCCTAAATCTCAAAAGCAGTAAGGTGAAGATAAACTTAAAAAAAAAAGCAAGAGTCACTGACTTTAAATCTCTGTTTTACAAAATTTAAGGCCACATGTAAGGTGAACGGACAGTCCAGCTCAACATAAATCTCAGCACTTGGGTGGTTAGATTAACTGTCTTTCTCCTTTCATTAGCTCACACTGCAGTGCAGAACTCTTGTGGCCAAGCTATAAAACAGCAGCACAAATCACTCGGACTAAAGCTGATTTGTAATTTTCTTCTTTACCGGTTTAATGTGCAAGACAACAATCATAGGTTGATGTCCCCCAAAAGTATAAATGCTGTGGCTGCATTTTTTCAACATTGCTTTTTGAGTTTGAGCCACCCGACATAGCAACATTGACTTAGCCAATGAGTTTGGGGCAGGGCTACCTGTTTCTTTGACCAATGACAGATGGAGGAGGGTTTGGGAGAATTTCATGTTTTCATTATTATAAATGTTGGTAGTTGCCCCTGTAAGTATAGCCCACCTCACCTAGTTACTATACAGACATGTACAAACAATTACAATGTACAAAAAAGCTCATACATATTTTATTTTTTATTCTGTATTTTAAGATTAATATAACATGATTGCAAATTGCTACAATATTGATAAATAAATAAAAAATATTTTTTGCATTTTCAATAAAAGAATATCAGTCCTGGCCTCTCAAAATCCTGTAAACAGGAAAAATCTGAAAACAGGAAACATAAGGGGCACAGTTACACAAATCATCCATTTTAGTTTTGTCCACAAAAACAATCATGAAACAATGAGTATTAAACACTGAATTTCCATATCAGTAAGCAATAAAATACGGGAGGCTGTTTTTTTTTAACAAATTACAGTTGTGTAAATATACACAACTAAAGAACACAACAGTTACTGCATAAAAATATTAAGGACAAATATTAAATATTAAAAGCTTTTTAATCAAAAATATTTTATTATGCAAAAATAAGTGTTATAAAGTGTAATCTCTGACATATACTGTAAAAAAAAAAAAAGGACTGTCGAAATTATGTAAAATAAATAAGAAATACGTAAAGGGAAATGGCTATCTTTCTTTCTTCATAAAAGAAGGTATCTTGAGAAATGTCTCAAGTGTTTTTGTTTTTTTTTCGGTACATTTTGGGGTAAACTATTACTTGAAAATTGAATGTTAAAATAAATTCCATGTAAAAAAATTTAATTGTTCATTTAAGTACTAAAACTTTATGCAGATCACGCAAAATGCAAAACAGGTGCATTTCATTAGATTCAGAGTTTCATTAGTGGTCTCAGATTTTGGCCCTCATTTGGTCTGAGTAAAAGAAGCAAGAGATTTTTCTCATTACCCTTTCATTTCTCTTTTCTTGCTCTCTGGATTTCAGCGCTCCAGTTGGTCCTGCTGCAGATATCTGGAGCAGTCTGAAACTTTTTTCACCTCACTGATATTTAAAGTCTCAGAGCACATGGGGCAAACCGACTCAGTCTCTAAGAGCCTGAAACAAACACATACAAATACAGAAAATCAATGGATGGATGGGTGGGTGACTAGATAGGTAGATGGACCATGGATGTATGAGACTTACTGAGTGAACTGCGAATAGAAAGCAGGGAAATCACAGTGTGGGCAGACACACCAGTCCTCCTTGACCAAGTGATGACCCTGAAAATAATGACACACACATCTATCAGTCAAACTGTGTAACTGTGTGCGCCTGCATATACACACCAAAAGGTCAAGTCAAGTTTATTGTCATTCCTCTCATTACAGTCACAGACAAGTCAAGAATGAAATATATATAGCACCTAGAGAGGAAGTTAAAATAGGGCCTGGGTTTCTGGCAGTTCATTATGACGTTTACACTGTGGAACTGAAGCTGTAGGTCACTCCCTCGGAGCAAGATCTGCTTGTGTTCAGGCAGTGCAGTGATGCAGTAGATTAAGTTGTCTGTACTCACTGTGGCGATACAGTAGGGCAGATTGTTTTTGCAGCCGGGACAGAGCAGCTCACAGTCAGGCAGGCTGAAGCCGCAGTAGGGACAGGGTGAGCTATCCTCCTCCACCTCAGAAGTATCTGGATGCAAAACAGAAAAAAGTCAATGATTGGGTCACGGCAATAGGAGCAAATTCAATTTAAAATATTTGTGCTACTTTTGTACAATTTCAGTGCAATTTTGTTTACTTACCATCTGCAATCCAGTTTGAACCTTTGGTTCTAAATAAGGGGGTCAAGGCCCACAAGAGGGACATGAGATTACTAACAAATTAAAATTAAAATAATCTAAAAAAATATATTTAATTTTTTGAAGCACCAGGTTTGGGAAGTGAAATAGAATTTTGAGACATTGACACAGCTTTTTGGAAAAAAGAAAAAGAAAAAAAAAAAAAAAGGTGGAAAGAGGGGTGATTTATATATAAGCCTGTTTTCGCCACTGAATACAAAATAAAAAAGGTAATTGCGACTTTTTATCTCACAATTCTGACTTTTTTCTCGCAATTGCAAGTTTAAATAATTCAGATTTTTTTTCCTCAGAATTGCACTACGATAAAAACGTGCAATTCGAACTTTTTTTCTTAGTTTGTATCTCGCTTGTCTCGCGTAGCCAGACCTTTAGACTGACGGCAGGTCTGGGAATCTTGGCCGCTTTGAATGGCCAAGGCCCGCCCAAGAGGCTATATATCCGACAGGTAGAGCAACCAATCATGTTTCGTTTTGTGCCGCGTCATGTTTATTAGCGTGGAAATATCACCACAATAACAGACTGGTGTGTAAAACTCTTGGACATATTTTAAAGGTTCTATGCCGTGAACTTTACATTTTTCACATACTTTTGAAAATCCAGCGTTTATAGTTGATCCTGATATATTTAGTTGATCCAGATATAAACTCGCAATTCTGAGAAAAAGTTACAATTGCGAGTTTATATCTCACAGTTCTGACTTTATAACATGCAATTGCGTGTTTATATAACAATTCTAAGAAAAAAGTCCGAATTGCGAGTTTGTATCATGCAACTCTGAGAAAAAGTCAGAATTGCGAGATGTAAACTCAGTTGCGCTAAAAAAGTAAATATTAAAATATTTGAATATTGCTGTGGACAATGGGGGGGGGCAAAAGTCAAAAAGGTCAAGAACCACTGGTTTAAACAGAACCTAAATGCACTGAAATAGCATTGTGCTAAAACAAAACAGACAGTGTGTGCAAATAAACTACGCTATTAATTGGAGCATTTAATTCTTATTATATTTCCCTTGTGTGTCTTACCGGACCATGGCCTCTATCTTCTTCTTGTATTTGAGATCAATCTTGTTACGATACTCTGGTCTCATCAGCATAGAGGCAAAACTGAAGGCAGAGTTCCTTAGTCCAGCACGATGACATTCAATAACCGCTGATGTGAGGATGGGGACAATGTCTGTAGGCCATAAACACACACACACCACTTTATGCTACATTATGAGCGCCTCCAAAGTTAGTTACAAAAGGCATAATGCTCAGGGAGACCACAAAGACTATGAAGGAGATGCCTCAATACACTGAATAAACTAATTTTGTGTGGAAACAGCTCACTCATCACTGTCGTAAAACTCTTAAAGTGTTTCAGTGATGTCAGGGTCATTATATAATTAGCTTACAAGGCACAAGAGATCCAAGTAATCTATTATTGACTGTTAAACCAGTGATATAGACGCAGAGATTGTCATCTCCTCTCTATATAAGAGTGGACTAGTCTAGTGGATTTGACAGCCATAACAGTACTGAAGTATGTACTGTATGTGTGTGTGTGGGTAGGTGTACAAAAGAGGCTCACGGGATGGGAATTTGCTGATGTTATTGGACACACGGATAAGCATTCGTGCACCCTTTAAATGATCTCCTCTTTTAACATTGATCTGAAAAAAGAATGAAAAAAACTTTACAGAACAGTGAATATCTTATGAGTACATGCTCATCAAATCACTGGACAAACTGAGAAGAAAGAACATTCATGTTTGTTCATCTGGTTTTCTTCATTAAATAAATATGAAATATAAATAATAAACTGGGGCCGCAAAAATAATTTGAACACTTAGTCACTTAAACTACACTTAAATGTATCTTTAAAATATTAGATACAAAACATCAAATCAAGTGATGAACAACCAACCGCTATCTAGGTGATTTTTTTGTGAAGTTAGTTTCCCCTCAAGTTCACACACGTGTCTTTGCAGAGTAACCACAGGTGTATTTCATCACATTGATATTTGACAACTAGAAGGTGTCATAATACTTTTACGTATTATTACAATTTAAAATAACTGTTCTCTTTTAATATGTTTTAAAAATACTTTATTCCTGTGATGGTAAAGCTGATTTTTCAGCAGCCATTACTCCATTACTTAAGTATCACATCATGATCCTTCAAGTAATCATTCTAGTATGTTGATTTGGTGCTAAAATGTTTTTATTATTATTTTGCTCATCTATTTCTTCAATTTCAACATTATTTGCTATTAGCAATGCTGAAAAGAGTTGTGCTGATTAATATTTTTGTGGAAACCATGATAAAGAAAGAGCCAAAGAACCACATTTATTCGAAATAGACATTCATTCTTACCTTTTAAGAATAATTGTAAAAAAAAATTGACCAACACCAAACCTTTGAGCGGTAGTAATATGACACTTGGTTTGATATTTTGTAATATAATACAAAAACCTTCATTCATTTTTATCATAATTTTTTTTTCTATTTTTCTGCAAATGTGAGAATGTGTGTTTCCCACCTTCACCAGTATGTAGCTGTGCAGGATCATCAGGTTTGTGGCCATCTCTGCTGGGATTTTAATGTGCTGTGTCTGAAGCTCAGCGTACATGCTGAACAAAACATCATGGGCATTCCTGTAGTTTCCTACAACACATAATACACACACAAACATAGGCCGGGAATTCCCTAAGAATGTATTATCTTCTTATTTTCACACTTTTGAGTCTGCATTGGCGCAACATGCTCCCAAAAATGTGCACTTAACACAATAACAGTGAATGACAATCTGTTTAGTAAACTCACTCCATAGACCTACACTACATGGATAACCAAAAACACTGAAATCAGACCTGCAGATTGCTCCTCTCTGGCAATAATAATAGCAGTTCTTGCTGCCTCTCTGTACTGCTTGAGAGCCATGTACAACCGGAACAGATATTTTGCATCCTAGGAAAGAGCAGAACCAACAAACATTATCTACCCTTTTTCTGATAACACACTTCTGATGCTATATGCTATATATATATATATATATATATATGATGCAACCAAATAAGGTAGACCACCTTATACAAATGATTTGCTCTGAATCAAACTATTTTTTTACCTAAACAGTTCAAATAACTACAAAACAAACACACACAGTCAGAATTTTAAGTAATAAAGCAGAGGAATTGAAACACAAACACAATTTCACATTGCACACAGACACACACACACAGAAGTGCCTTCTGCTGGGTCACCACAAAGAGAAATATCAGCAGATGCAATGAGCTACTCACGGCAAGAGACTACACACATGCAGTGACACGCAAGAGAGAGAGGATGAGTGAGAGATGATGAGTGTACGGACAAAAGGAACCAATCAGATAATGAGTGCAACAACGTATTTACAGTACATAATTGCAAATTACAATAGATGCTTGTTTTAAATGCAAACACTTAAAGGGTCCAGTGCCCAGATTTTCTAAAGAGGACCCACACATTTACAAAAGAAAAAGAAAAACCTGATAAAATCATAAAGTAAATGGCAATGTTAGAGCTGCTTGGAGCCACTAGATAGCCCTCATGTGTCTAATTTAATCAAATATTAAAAGAATCCTATCCAGTAAAAGTCTTCGAGCCATAAATGGTGATGAACCCAGCAGGGTCATGGAACAAACAAGAAATAAGCATTTATGGACTCCAAATTCAGATGTTGTGTTCAGCTATAGTAACACAACTATGTATATTAATATTTTTTTGTGGTCTATACCAATGCGGCAAGTTGCACTACTGTTCAAAAGTTTTGGGGTCAGTAAGATTTTAAAAATATTTTTAAAAGTCTCTTTAAAAGTTTCCCTCACCATTGCTATATTTACGTGATCAAAACTACAGTACAAACAGTAATAATTTGAAATATTATTAAATTTATTCCTATGATGCTGAATAAGCAGCCATTACTGCAGTCTACAATGTCACATGATCCTTAATATGCTGATATATATATATATTTTTTTTTGTGGAAACCATGATACACATTTTTTTCATGAATTTTTAATAATCAAAGTTCACAAAAACAGCATGTAACAATGTAGAAGCCTATAATGCCATTTTTGATCAATTTATTGCTTCTTGCTATATAAAATAATCTTTTTTTGTAATTATTTTTTAATCAAACTAAAATGAACTAAAATTAATGTATTAAATGCCATAAAATTCCCATCTTAAGTTAATTTTTGATTTAATTCCAGATGATGCAGTGAACTAACATCAACAAACTAATAAATTCTGTGAAAATATATTGTTCATTGTTAGTTCATGTTAGTTAATGCATTTACTAATGTTAACAAATGAGACCTTATTATAAAGTGTTACCAAAACCTTTAAAGATTTACA